TAATCCTATTCTTGGGCCTCTGGCCCCCCAGGAAGGGGACTTTGGGGCTGTCACGGCCCTTACCAGTCTTGGGGGCCTCTGTGCTGTCTCCATGTCCCTCAGGTAGGCATCATAATGGCCCAGAAACCAGGAGAGTCACCCATCGATGGCAAATCAGGCCCTTTGAATCTGAAAGTTTTGGCAAAGGGAACTGTGGATGTTTGTGCTCCTCCCTTTCCGCCCTCTTTCTTGTGTGTGGCACTTAGATAAATTAAATATAACATCATTTTCTGCCATTTAGGCAAATCACATTCTCACAGTTCCAAAATGCAAACATTATAAATAAAATATAATCTCATCCAGATCTTATTGAAGACCCTGCTCTCAGAGAATAGCATGGGAAAAGCCATCATCTTTGTCCCTTTCTGCTAGGTAAATGGGGATCCCTATGGCTACTGCAACACCTGCCCCTGACAGGGGCATGCTCCCTCCATGAGCAATAAACCTCACACCAGCTGTTATGGATTGAATTGTGTCCCCCTCCAAAAAACGTGCTGGAGTCCCGACCCCTATACCTGTGGATGTAATCCTATTTGGAAATAGGATGTTCTTTGTTATGTTCATGAGAACATATCAGTGTAGGGTATGTCCTAAATCTAATCACTTCTGAGTGATATAAAGAGCAGCACAGAGAGAGAGACAAGGAAGCACAAATCAGGGAAAATAGATGCCACGTGGAGATTGCCAAGGAATGAAGAAACCCTTTGAGCTAAAGAGGCTGAGGCAAGAATTCTCCCCCAGAGTGGACAGAGAGAGCCTTTCCCTAGAGCCATGACCAGATTTGGACTCCTAGGCTCCTAGAGCAGCACGGAGCCCTGGTAGCACTGTGGTTAAGTGTTTCACTGCTAACCAAAAGGTCAGCAGTTCAAATCTACCAGCCACTCCTTGGAAACTCTATGGGGCAGTTCTCCTCTGTCCTACAGGATCACTATGAGTCAGAATCGACTCAATGGCAATAGGTTTTGTTTTTTTTGTTGGATAGCAGTACTAGCAAACTCAGACAACACCCGTTGGGAGAGCTCCCTTAAAGCCACTTATTCACTTTTGGAAATGAAACTATACACAACATTTAAAAAAAAACTATTCACCTGAAATTTTACACATAAAATAACTGAGGTCCAGAGATACTAAGTATTTTGTCCATGATCACTCAGCAGTATCCCAATTTCAGGATAAGAAGCACCAGTTTAGGAAATTCTGCCTAAAACTTTCATCACCCTAAACAGGAGTTGTAGCAAACAAGTAACCTATCCTGCAAATGCCCATAAAGGATGGTCTTTAAAAAAAAAAAAGGTCTGTAAAGTGAAATTTCATGTAACAAAACTTGGCATCGCACCTGTGCCCATTACAGAACTGGCATATGGAAAACCCAAGTCCCAAGCCAAACCAATCACAAATGTCCTCGCCAACTGCGAGGCCCGAAGATGAGGAGTCTGTTGGGGCACGGCCAGCCATGTCTGCTCCGTATCCTGCTTTAGCGGCTGTCCTGTGCCAGCATGCATCCATGTGGATGCAACGAGATGGCCCCAAATCCACTGCCTCACCCATAAAGTACAGCATGAAAGAAAGCACTAACTGCCACATCCTAAGCACCCATACAGGGACAGAACCAGCATCTCTCTCTAGTTATACAGATTCCATAACCAAATTTTTCACATCAAAATTTGTGACACATGGGCGGACAGCAGGACAGAATATTAAAAATCAGGACCTCCCTGAGAAATCTGGGCCATGTGGTTGCCCTGCCGACACCCCACAATGACAAACAAGCATCTCCGAGGTCCAGAAGCAACTTGGCTGGCTTCAAATTGCCCAGACACTCTGAAGGCAGAGCTGCCTACTGGCCCGGACTGCTCTGCAGACCCTCCCTTTCCCAGCTCAGCTCTCTGATTTCCCCTGGGGAGTGATGATGTAGCTTGTCTGGAGTTTTCTCAGCCTCTGTCAGCAGGGCTGGACACCTCATTGCCTAGGAATCTGAAAATCTAGACGCAGCATCCTGGCCCAACCAACCAGAGAAATGTTTTAGGAGGCAAGAATGAGTGTTTACCACAAATTCAGGGAGAAAGCACATCTTTGGCTGCACCTGTCCCTTTTAAATTGAACAAAGGGTTCACCCCCTGGAGAAGCTGAACATGTATTCCTCTATCTCCTTACTTATAGTCAGGGTACAGCTGGGAAAATACTGGATGGATATGAAGCTTGGACCATTGGCTGCCCCCAGACAGAGTTGGGTAAAATTCTACTTTGCTCGTCTAACAAGTACTTACTAAGTCCTGCTGAGACCTGGTGGTACAGCGGTTAAAGAACTCGGCTGCTAACCAAAAGGTCAGCAGTTCGAATCCACCAGGTGCTCCTTGGAAACTCTATGGGGCAGTTCTACTCTGTCCTGTAGGGTTGCTGAGTCAGAATCGACTCGAAGGCAATGGGTTTGGGTTTTGTTTTGTTTTTCCATGTGCATCAATGTGAGGATGCAAGCAGCTTCCAGCATAGTCCTTGCATGGGGAAGCTTATATTTAGTAGAGGAGAGAAGGCAGGTGGCTGAGAAATGACTGGAAGAAAGGAAATACAATACAAGCCAGTGTCAAAAGCAGTGTGTGACTGAGGATCATGCAAAAACAGAGAGGGAGCCGGCTGTGTCCAGAAAAGGTTCTGCCTGCTCTCCCGGAACCTCCACTCTCCCTCTCTTCCTATACCTCCACTCCCTGGCTCCCAGGCAACTCCCTGATATTCTTCACACTTTAAACTTAGATTCCAGTTCACTCAGTTGCTAACCAGAAGGTCAGCGGTTCAAATCCACCAGCTGCTCTGCAAGAGAAAGATGTGGCAGTCTGCTTCATAGATTTACAGGCTTGGAAACCAGAATTCTACTCTGTCCTATAGGGTTGTGTGTGAGTCAGAATCACTCCACGGCAATGTTTTTTTATCCCCCCTAATCCACAGCATGTCAAACCTCGTGGGAAGAAGAGGGCATGATGATGTTCTCCAGGTCCCCCATGACTTCCAATTTCGACCCCTCAAAAGGAGCTCCACATCTTTCTAGCAGTGCCCCCACACCCTTTCAGGGCTCTCACAGTCTGAGTGGCCTTCCTGGGTGATGAGAGGAGCTGAAGAAAGGCGCATGAGCAAGGTCAGGGTTCTGAAGCACAGGTTATGTAGCGGGGCTAATGTGATGGGACTCTCTGGGCTCAGAGCAGCCGTTTCCCTGTACTCTCTTCCCTCCCTTCCCCCCTCCTCCTCTCATTCCAGTTTAGACCCTCCCCATCCATCACGTCAGCCAGCGCCGAGAGGGACAGGGCATCTGGCCAGCCTGTCTCTCCCCTCCTGGCCTCTTCAGCTGTGAGGCAGAAAGGAGCATCGAGAGGAGCCCGATGTGTGGAAGCTCCCTCCCTGGGGCCTGGCGGCCACTACTGATTTCGCCGGTTCGGGCTCCAAGCTGTCCTTCTCCCCAGTCTCAGCACTCTGGGGTCTTTGCACAGGTTTTTTCCTCACCAACCTTCTGTCCAAATATCACATGTGCTATGGAGACAGTGTCCTAGGGACAGGGATCCGCAGCCCAGAAGAGAGCACTCCACGTTATCGGGTTCGCCCCCAGAGTGTTCATCCAGACCCGGAGCTAGGACCTGGGGCGGGGGACTGGGAATAATACCCACAAACTCCAAGATCTCTCAGACAAAATCAGAAACGGTTCTTAGGCCGTGGATTTTTAGTTCTCCCCGGTGGGCAACAAGGCACGAAATCTGGGGCAGGATGGAAATATGAGAGCGCCTCCACACAGACCCCCCATTCTCCTACGGTTCAGAGACTCCTTTGGACAAGTATTTTGGATTCTACTCCGCACAAGCCACCGCCCTCCTGACGTTACACCCTACCCTGACCCCTCCTCCCCCAGGCCCAGATCTTTTCACGTCAGAATTGTCACCCTCCACCACTCCCCATCCAGAGGCCCACTCTTTGCTCTCTTTCTTCCCGGCCCTCGTCCAGCCACGCTGCCCCACCCGCCACCCGCCCGGGTAGGAAAAATGCGCCCGAGAGCTTCTCTCCGCAAGTCGCAGAGCCTCCCGCCTCAACAGGTGCCCGCTCTCGGCCACACAGAGCTGTTACCCGGGACCCGGGAGGAGGCGGTGACAGGAACGCCCCCTGCAGGGCGGCGGGGGCTCCGAACGCCCCAGTCCGGGTCCCAGGTCCGCCGAGGGCCCGCAACTCCGCCGAGGCCCCCGCCGCGCCGCCTTTGTTATCCCGCTCGCTTTGGCGTCGCAGGGCTGACCTCAAGCAAGGGAATCGGCGAGTTCGGGCACCGGTACTGCCTGTTCCCCGGTCGCGGTGGACCCCGTCTTGGGGGTGAGGAGCATGCACAGGATGAGACCTTTTCCTACCCAGAGAACCTTAGGCGGGTTAGTGAGGAGTGCTTGGTGCCGAAGAAGCAAGTCCAAATGGGCCCAGGCTGGGGAAGAGGGCACGAAACCAGGCGATATCCCCAGCGACTCTGCCCTACCCGGCAGCCCCACTTCATGTCATTTGTCCGCAGGAGGCTGGAGAGGGGGTGCGCACCGCCACCTACGCGCTCAGCTGCGCGCGGCTCCCACGGCCGGCTCGCGGAGCGCAAGGTCCAGCCGCCTTCCGGGGCGAGAGAGGCGGGCAGTCCACCGGCCTCCGGGTCCGGCGGCGTAGTGCCGGGAGGGCCGCCACGTTCCCAGTCGCGCGCGCACGCCCGACCCACCAAACTTGCAGCACTTTCTCCCAGCCCCCACCCGCTGTCACCCTCCCTCCACCGGTGCGCCCTGGCCCCGCCAGCCCGGCCGAGGTTGCCATAACAACGGGCAGGAATGCTCCAATATATACAAAGCCGGCCCGGCGCAGCGGGCGCGCAGCCCCGGCCTGGCCCCGCGCCCTCCGCAGCCGCGCGGGTCAGGATGCGCCCTCTGGCTCCCCAGCCAGCGGTCCTGCGCGCAGGGCGGACTCACAATGAGCGGGATGGTGCGGTCCTCGCGGAGCTGCTCCGGCCTCCCGCCGGCCCTCTGCCCGCCCCGGCCGCCGGAGGATGTTGCGTGGGCTCGATTGTCCTGCCATAAGTAGTAGAAAGTACCCAGGATCCAGGCTACGGTCAGGATGGCGATGGCATTGGCGCGGATCTTCCTCATGGTGGGCGAGTGCGCGGGCGCCCCGGGTGGGGGCCGGGGCCGGCGTGCTCTCGGGGCCGGGGCGGGGGCGCTCGCAGCCCCAGCTGTTTGTTTTCGCC